ATTGCATTCTTGGACATTTTCTGAACTTTACATGCTAAATTTATAACTCGATATGGTATTCTACGCGTAGACAAAAGAGTGTACTTTAATTTAGTATAAGTTTAGGATATCAAAGTATTATTTTCGATGCCTAGGAAAAACTCTGTAAAAAGTGTTATTTCGGACTACGTTGGAAGGCGCTTTGCATTGATAATAATGCCGAGGAATTACTAGCAATGACTGAATTCCGGCTTTGACGGAAACATATATATCAAGAATACTATAAATCGATTATAATCGTAAATGGTTCAGAGATTCTTCGTAGACACCTTTATAAATTGCTTTCTGTCCACCTCTGTTAGTCCCAACCGGCCTGATTCCCAAGCATTTTTTTTAAACGCTCGTATCCGAGTCGTTATCAATCGAGCTCCCCATCAATGTTTGGAATCCACCATGACGATAAATACGATAAGTAGTTAAAAAAAAATATTCATTAAAAAATATAATAATGAAAAAGAAAAGAAAAGAAAAGAAAAGAAAAACGAAGAGAGGAAAGAGACGATGATCGAGGATTGTGAATGAGAAAGGACTATACCACCACCAACACCATCTCGCTCATGAACGAGGGACGTGTGTGTTAATGAAAATAAGATATTTAAAATAAAAAATATATTAAAACAAAACAACAATAAAAAAAAGGAAATAAATAAGAATGGAAAAAAGATAAGGAAAACAAAAATATGCGTGCTGTGCAGTGTGCGGTTTGAGAGTGGGTGGTTGGGTTGAGGGGTTTAAGTGTGCGAGTGGGTGGGTGTTATGTAAAATATTTGGCAGAAATCGTCCCATGTATGCCGTGTGACTGTTTGCTTTGTAGCCGATGGCGAGGAATGCGTCTGGGGTGGGTGCGGGGGCTCGCCAGGTGTTCGCCGAAGTTCTCGATCCCGTAGTCACCGGCGTAGATCACCGTTGCGGATTCCGGCACGTCAACAAAGGCAACAACAGCAACAACAACAGCAGCAGCAGCAGCAGCAACGTGCTGCACAAAAACAACGAAATTCGCGCGAACGTAAGCCTTCCGATAAAGAGAAGAATTCGCCTAATCGCAAAGAAACCAACAACTATCGCGAACAACACGGTGAGCGAGGGGGGTGGGGGTTCTCGTTCGGTTCATAATCGCGTTTCAAAATTCGATTGTCGTGTCTCGTCCGTTCTTTTTTTTTTAGAGAGTAAATATTTTATTTTATTTTTTTCTCTCTATTTTCAGCCTTTCTATCTATCTATCTATCTATCTTCTTCTCTTTGATTTTTATTCGAAGATGTGCGCGACCATTAGAAAAATAAAACGGACGAGACGTGTCCGATTAAAGTCCGTACGATAATTCTCTCTTTCTCTCTCTCTCTCTATCTTTATTTTTTTTGTTTTGATATTATTTTACTTGATTATCTTTCTATCTCTTTGTCTCCTCTTTCTCTATTTCTATCTATCTGTCCGTTTGAATAACACCGGGATATATCGCGATAGGACTGCATCAGCATCATCATCATCGTCATCATCAGAGTCATCAGGTGAATCACCATCACATCGAAGTAGGTAGCGAGATCCTCGTGCCGAGTGGTGATAGATTGACCGACGACAACGTAAGACAAAAGTTAGATTCTGGGGCGATATTGGTACACGGTAAAGAAGAATTACCATTAACATATAACAAAGATGATAACAATAAAAAAAGACGACCGTATAGTACTGGTCAACTTGGACACGACAAATTCAATGGTTTGGACACCGAGGAGGAACGTCGTAGGTTAAGCGATGATGAACTATTACGAGTTAGACGAGTTCAAGGACGTCGAAGATTAAGATCAGCTGGATCAGATCACGAGGATTATTCGGCAAGGAATAGGAACAATCAATTCGATTCATCATCATCGAATAATTCAACGAATAACGAGGACAACCGACGTGGATCTAGACAACGATGTCAACGACACGAGGATTACCAGGAGGAGGAGGAGGACGAGGACGAGGATGAGGACGACAACGAGGACGTTAATGGAAAAGACAAAAATGCTAATGCACGTCCAGCTAACCCCCACAACAAGCAGAGTGCTACCCTACCTAGAAGACGAAGAAGACGTGCCCTTTCCGGAAGTTTTGCTGGCAATCCTCTACCCCCACACCGCGTCACACCTGACGGCACGGCCATCTACTACTGGTGCGAGCTCCCACGCCGCCCCGGCTCACAGGGTAAATTCTTCTTCCACCCCCTAACCTAGCCTCCTATTGTTTTTTATTTCTTTCTTTTTTTTTTTAAACCCTTACCTTCCAATACCATTTTATTCCGATTCTACATCACCTAAGGAACACCCACATGATTCTATCTTTTCGATTAGGTCATACTCTTCTTTCTTCTTCTTCTTCTTCTTCTTCTTCTTCTTCTTATTATTATTTTTATTATTCTTTTTTGTTTTACATACCTTTGATTGCGAATAACTTCGTTTTCTACGAGAGAAATAATTTGATTCGATAAAACAATTGATATATTGCGATACGAACAGATAACAAGAGTGCATTCGTACTAATAAGTAAAGTATGAATTAACTCTTGTTTCATTTTTTTTTAGATTTATGTTAATATATTATTTGATATTATTTATATATTATGAATAAATAATTGCGTGAGACTTTTTTTTTAGTGTAATCAAATTATTTTCGCATAATCTAGGGATCCATTGATAATATTGTATTATTTTCATTTGGATATTTTACTTTTGTCTTTTATCTACTCTTCTCTTATTCCGCTTCCTTATCATCATCGTACGTGGCTTGTTGCATAAAAAATAAACAATGGAAAATTGGGGTCGATCGATGATCAGACCGTGAACTTCAAATGCGTCTCCTATCTCGTGATTGACGTTGAAATGATGTTGGTGATGGAATCCTTCGATTAATTCCAACGCGATGTCGTTGAGATATATATATATATATATATAGATATAGTATATTTATCGAAACGAATAATTATTATCATTTTATAATTGAGCGTTTATATATAATCGTTATTTCTTATCCCCATTTATCTTTTTCTCTTATTCTCTCTCTATCTCTATCTTTATTTTTTATTTAATTTTTTTTTTTATTTATCTGTCTCATACCATATATCATAAACCCTCATTTTTATTCTCGTACACTCGTATAGTCTTCGATTGACCCTTTCTTATCGTATCAACCAACTAACCACCCCAACCACCACTGTCACTACCCACGCCCTTATATAATCGTTTCTTACGATCAAAATAATTGCGAACAAAAATTATAAATAACGAGAATAATGTCAAAAAGTAATATACCTAAACACGCGCATATTCATACGCGAGTAAACATAAAATCGATTGGCTTCATCGACAACACACAATCAACTCTCTTATTCTTTAGTAAAATAAAATATTAATATTAACAAGATGAAAATATTATTTATCGATGGATATATATATCACAGAATGACCAGAATTTTTGTCTTTAACAATAGAACTGGACGATGGGGCGTATAATCCTCTTTGGACGATGCGAGGATTCACTCAGACCTTTCATTTTTGGAAGGAAACTAGACGAGCCCAATCCGTGCCTCTCAATGCGTTTCTCACTTACATCACTTTACCATGGTGGAGCATAGCTAAAGGTATTTTTATTAATTATTATTATCCTTTATCTCGTTCCCCGACCTTTTTTCATACGATTCCTCATTGGGTTTTATCTGATTTCGGTTTATATGCATATGCAATTTTATATAATTTATATGATGGTTAATATTATTTAGATAATAAAATAAAGGCATCAAATGAATTTGTATAATTTTGTCGTTAAATCGTTATTATCATAATTATCGGCACAATTATTATTAAAAGGAATAATTTGTTGATCAATTATGAAATATTTTCATACTTTCTTGGCTTAATCTCGTTTGTTCTTTTTTCTTTTAGATATACTGGATCATCGAGAAGGGCCCATTTTGACATTTTAAAAATATATATATATATAAATTAAATAAACAAAAAAAAACGAAATGCAAATGTACGACGGGAAAAAATGCAACGTTTTTTTTTTCCGTTCCCGACGAGTATCGACATTTTTTTTTTACTTTTTACGTGTCTCGACGAAATCGACATTCGACTCGAAAACAAACAAAAAATAACTCGATAAGATGTGTATAAATTATTAAATAATAAACTAATTACAATTTACAATCTCTTTATTTCTTTCTTTCTTTCTTTATCATTATTATTACGTCTCGTATCTCGAATTTGTTAATGTTTATAAGAAAACGACGATGGATAATATAAACCTTGAATTCCAATATGAGCTCTCCTCGTGTCGCTAAATCATTTTTATTAACAAGAAAAATATTAGGCATACTGGAATGGAAGAAAAAAAAAGAAACGTACGCAGGATAAAGTATTATAATCTCATTTTTTTCTTCAGCTATCATCCGGAATTTTAACTTAAGATATAATCATTCGACTAAACCGCAAACTGATTTAAGAAAAAATCTTATAAATAGGCAAGAAAGCGTATTACATATTTCATAAAACAAGTAGAGTTCTCCGAAGTATAATATTTCAGTTCTTCGTATTCAGTGTACGAAACAAAACGATGATGTGGAAGATAAATATAAGCGTATTGTTTATAATCAATCTAATTAATATCATCGATGGAAATTGTGAAATCAAAGTATACGATAATGAATATCAAGAAAAAGAAGTAGGTAAGATATCATTGAAAGTATTTATCCGCGATTATATAAAACAAACAATTATAATATTCTATAATTATAAATAACAATAATCCTTCCATATATACGCGAATAATTTTGATTAAATGGTAATCGTGTAAATGAAACCGTGAACCGAGCCATTTAAAAAATAAAACAAAAATCTTTTCCACGTGTTTAAATATATATTTTTATATGATTAGCATAATAAATTACAATGAATAATCCCCCAGAATTTATGTTTTTTGTATAACACACATCGTGGTAACATAATATGATCTCTGATAACTCAAACGCGTTAAAGTGAATTCGCGTAAATGGAAGAATTATTTAAAAAAAAAACAATAAATAAATAAATAAAAAAAACATACTTATCACGCGATAGTATGCAGCAACATGAGAGAGAAAGTTAATAATGTAAGGGCACAGGTGAAATGTATGCCGAGAACGACATTAATGAAATTATTCCTGAATAACGAATATACTTATTATCCTAACGTGATACCATTAAAAAGATGTCACGGTCATTGTCGTTTTTCTTGTTTACCGATAAGAACAAAAAAAACACCTATTCTCCTCCAACGTTCTCATATCAATTCTGCTACTGTATCATGCGTTATTGTCGAGGTCGAGGAACACACGCATTGCAAGTAAGTTCTTTTTTTGGTTAATTATATTTTTATCACACATTTTTCTCTTTTTTATTTATTATATATATATATATATATATATAAAAAAACGTGAGAAAACATTTTCGCATTCGGCTTTAAAATTCATATCAATTCGATTATTTTGGAATAAAACCACGATAAGAAAAGAAAAAAAAAAAAAAGAAACATTGCGCAAATTAACCGCAAAACTTCCTGTAAGATGTGGCTGCGACGTTATGGAGGAACATTGCAACAACAAACAAATCTACAATGAAGAAGCTTGCAGCTGCGATTGCATAAATGACGAAGAAAAATTGAAATGTATGAAAAAACCTAACATGTCTTGGGATCCGGACAATTGCAAATGTATGTGCAATAAAAGTGAAGAAACGTGTTCAAGTGGTCTTATGTGGATTCGTGATGCATGCGCGTAAGTATTTTTTATCATCATTTTCTTTATTCTTTTCTTATTATAATATAAAAATACGAACACACCTGAAAATCGCGATAATAATCCTCTTGTTTTTTTCTTTTTTTTTCTATTTATTTAATTTTATTTTATTTTATTTTTAGTTGCGCCAAAGTAACCATGGTTGGAGATAATTAATTTATTAACGACCATAACGAAATATACACTTATTTTAATTTGAAATTTATCCTAAGCTTTAATAAAAATGCGCTAATTAGTTGTACCTCGTCGTACTTAGAATGATCAAATTATTAAAACAAAGAGAAAAAAAAAAACAGGAAAATAAATGAACAAGAGATAGAAAAAGAAAGTCCTATTGGTCATGCAGCGGCAGTGGTCATTGTATCGACATAATCTCCAAAATTGGTCCAAGTGTGATCCCATAATTCAGGATTAGCGTTAGGATCCCATTGCGAATTGCCAGGTGAAATAGCCGTGGCATTTAATTTCTTTATTTCTTCCTGTAATTTCTTTAATATCGTAGGTAGCCTGTAAACGTATATCCGCGTGGTAAATGAAATAATAATGAAATATTACAACAACAATATTACCGAACAAAATTAACGAACAAAATTGATTTATATTGAATTTCTACTCACTCGTTGGCAAGATTATTATCCTCGCAAGGATCTTGTTGAACGTTGAAAAGACATGGTGCTTGCAAAGGTTTGCATATGGGTAAAGAATCATTTTTAGGTGGACACTTGATAAGAGAAATTTCACGAATTTCATGAATTTGTTCTGGTGTAAGTGAAAAACCTGAATTAATTAATGCACGACCTGACATACTACCGATTACTGCACCAACGTCATACACCCACTCTCTTCCAGATGGTCCATACCATCCATCCCACGCACCATTGTAAGTTGAACCTTGCAAATGAACGACCTTCCTTACGATTTCATTCCAAATGTTACTATCTTATCTTTTTTCGTAATTGAATAAACGATTATAACAATTTATAGATCAAACAAATGTTTAACAGCTACATTTTATATATTATATTTGTGCATTTTATCTTAATTCATAATTTTATTTTTTAACGAACAACTTAGAATTTTATTTATTTTATATTTAAATAGGAATAGTATTATCTAATACGAAACATTTGTTTGTCTATAAAGTTCATTTTTTTCACAATTTTACCTTGCATTAATTTCCAATCATCAATTGTGATCGCCGATACTCCGAAAATGTCATCGATATTATGTAAAATAGTTCTACGGGGTGATTCCTTGTCATCCCGCAACGCTTCCCATAAATCAATGCCATCTAAATTCGTCAGATTCGAGGGATCGCTACCAGCGATCGATAAAAGTGTTGGTAACCAATCGGTTATATGAAACATTTGTGAACTTACACGACCAGGACGAGTTAATTTAGGTGTCCATAATAAACCGGTACCTCTGACACCTCCTTAACAATACAATAAACGTTTTAAACACTGTTTTAATAAAATTAATAACAAAATGAACATACAACAACCTTCCCAAAGTGTATTTTTAACGCCTCTCAGTGGCCAATTCGAAGCTGCATTTAAATTAAATCCAGCTGCTGGACCCCCATTGTCGGTAGAAAAAATAATCACGCTGTTTTTCAATAAATCTGTTTTTTGTAAAGCTTTAACTACATGTCCTACAGACTGATCGAGCTTACTTAACATACCTAATAGATAATAATTATTGATAATAATTCAATATTTGATCTATTCCAAATGTAATAAAACATTTATTTGATAACATTGAATACCAGCGAATCGTTTACGATTGTAATTGGCAATCGAGGAATATTTGGCTACTTCGAAGTCAGGTGCTGGTAAAGGATTGTAAGGATTCCCGGAATGAACAGCAGCATGAGCTAAATATAAAAACAATGGTTGACTTGAATTGTGATTCTCGATAAGTTTGACGGCCTCTTGAGTGAATATGTCAGTTGAGTATTGACCATGTAAATCCCACGCTACATTCATATCACGTCTCATGTCTAGACCCCAATATGGCTGCGAACAGCACAATGAATATATTATTATCCCGTTAATTTAATCCAACCTTATATACACGTTGTATTATACTTTACGAGGATAACATTTATCACCTCCTCGACGGCAGTATGATCGAAATAATCGTGATGACCTGACCAGAATCCAACGTGACTTTTAAAACCACGATAAATAGGTGTAAATTCTTTCTTGTAAAATCCTAAATGCCATTTTCCGACAATGTGTGTACTGTAACCAAGATCTTGAAGATATTGCGGCAAAATTTTTTCATTTAAAGGAAGCCCTCTTGGTTCGGCTCCTTTTAGAACCTAAATATATATATATCAAATATATGTTTACGAAAGAAAAACATATATCGTACGAAGAATAAATCAAATAAATATTTACACCATGCTGCATTCCAATGTGAATCGGATATTTCCCAGTCATCAAAGCACTTCTAGACGGCGTACAAATCGGAGTAACGTAATATTTATTTAATAATAATCCCGAATATGCGAGTGCATCGATGTTAGGTGTCGGTATTTGACCCGAGCCATGAAATCCAACATCGTTCCATCCCTTAACGAGAACGAAATTGTAGAAAAATCATTTGATGAAGAAATGAACAAAAAAATACGATTAAAAAATAAATCGATGGTTAATTAATTAAGCTCACCAAATCATCGGCTAAAATAAAAATGATATTTGGCCGATCGGTTGAAGTAACTTCTTTCAAAAGACACGTAATGGCAACGAGGAAAATGAATGAGTAACACTGTGCAATTTTCATTAGACGAGTCATCTTCATTGACGTCAACTAACTCCGAAGACTTGCTTGTCGTAGTAAAAAATTCAAAGAACCGGTTCTTAACTGAAAGAGTATGTGATTTTCAGGAGCTCTTAGTTTAGTTTGAGAGGAACACGAACAAAACACCGGCCTTCGGATCGAGCGCCAATTCTAAACTGTCTTCCTTCAGGCAAGTTTCTTTCGGTGTGTTAACATATTAAACTCTCCCACCTCCTTCACAACTTACTCTTACTGTTACTAATACTATTATTAGATTATTATTACTACTACTATCAGTATTACTATCACTATAGTAACTTCTACTGCTAACAAAGATCAGTACTGCTACTGTTACTACTACTATTTATTATATTATTACCAATACTACTATTAAAATATGTTTACTACTACTGCTACTAGTATTGCTAACCAGAAATACTACTATTCCGTTACATCTTCCTGCTTTTCTCGTTACTATCCTTTATTTTTTTTTAATGAAAAGTACTTAGAATATTTTCCTGAATTTTTGATATAATTTACATTCATATATAATATTCTAAAACCGAAGTCTTATTCAAGATATATGAATATAGCATACTTTTGATTAAAAAATAAAAAAAGGCTATTTTACTTATTCCTTTGTTTATTATTTCGAAGAAATAAAAATCGAATTATCGATTGAAATTATCATTTTATTATCTGTGACGTTTATTAGCTAACTAATTAAAATATAATTTAAATTGATAGCACAAATAGATAGGTTAATCAATTTCATAGGAGAATAATAGTCTAGTCATTTATTTTAATTTCCACTTTAATAAGAATAGTCCATTTCTCATTGTAAAAGGTTGAGTGTAATCTTTCACAAGGCCTCTTTGTGTTAAATTAAATCTTACAAATGATTTAAAGGACTGAGTACTTTAACATCCGAGTCAAACATACTCATAAAGTTTAATAATAGTAATAATCAAATTATTATAAATGTATGTATGTATAAGGTAAAATCAAAATTTCAGGAACAAGTGTAATTACGATTAACAGTTAGACTATCTTTTTTTTTTTATTCCGTAATAGAGTATTACATTATCTCTTCATCATAATGGATAGTAGCGTAAAAGCTAACGTAAATGCGTTTAGAACCCGATCGTTATCTTTTACGCGATCGAAATAGTATATAAAAAAGAAAAAAGAAAACAAGGGCTAAAAAGAAGAAAAAAAAAAAAAAAAGAAAAAATACCACAATTTTGTAGTCAACGCAAAAAGATCATTTGGTCGTCGTCGTTCGTGTAGTAAATTATATACGTAACATCATTTTTATATCAAACGTCGTCCACACCACCACCACCACCACCATCACCAGCATCGTTCGTTTCATTTTTTGATAATCGTTCGTAATATTTACCAACAAGTAAGTCGATGATAAAATTCCTTAAACATTTGTATTAAATTCAATTTAAAATTATTTGTATCGTGATACGCAACCGAAAGTAAAATTTTTGAATTGTTGTGTGAAAAATTTGGGAAAAAAAAAGAAATTGTTCTTACAAGTATATAATCAATGAAAATAATACACCGATTTCATATTGTTCATTTTGTAATCAGTCGCGTTATTATATCATTCATTCTGTACACGTAATGTATAATACTATTTCAAATGTGATATATATTCCTTTCAGTGATTACAACTTTCCTATTGTACATCGAATTAATCTCTATTATCGGTTCTTTACCTTTATTTAAAACGGAGCAACGGAAGAATCAAAGTCCAAGTAACCAATAAATAAATTATTACGAATGTCACATGGGAGAAAGTAACGGGATAACGTTTGCAGACTGCAATGTGAAATAATTTTGCTGTGTTTATATTATACATGAATAACATTGGTCTATGGTAATCAATTTTTTTCTCGATATTTATTACAAATTTAGAAAAAAATTAAGAAAAGAAAAAATCAAATAAAAATAAAAGAGTAAAACATACGGCGACAGGATTTTTTATCGATGTATATTTAATTTGTCGCAAAAAAATAATTTCGTATATCGTATAGAACTTTAATCAATCGTTTCTTACTGATGTCTAATTTTTTAACTATTAACTTGAAATTCTAGCCAAAGACACGACATATTTAAAAAAAAAAAAAAAGAAAAGTGATTTAAAAAACTTTCTCGTGTTTAATTATATTATGCAGTTTTGTCTTTCCTTTAACAAATTAAGAAAGAAAACAAAGAAAAGAAAAGAAAAGAAAAAGAAAGAAATGAAATGACATTTAGAACAATCTAATATATATGACAGAACATTTGTTCTTTTCTAGATAATTGTAAATAATTTACCTTGTCAAGGTTTATGTCTTGTCGTATATCATCACCGAACGGTTTCACGTAATTTGAAACAATAAAGAATGTCAATCGATGATGGTAGTAGATCTCACACATATCAAACAAAAACGGAGGAAAAAAAAGGAAAAAGAAAAAAAGATAAAGGAGAAGAAAAAAGGGGGCGCGGGTTGTTCATAAAATAAAAATAAAAATAAAAATAAAAATAAAAATAACGTGGGCACGCGAGACGGTGTCACGGGGATCTTGGATCTAAACCATCATCGAGAGACTTTGAAAAAAGATAACACACAACAGCCCCTAGTATTTTTCTTTACTCTATCGATCTAACCCTAAGCATTTTAATCGTGAAACACCAACTGAAATGTCTCGACACCGTCAGACATACATGGTGCAATAATAAATTAGATGACTAAGTGAAAATAGTGGGTAAGTAGTTTCTTGACTAACAAAAAGTGTCACTTTGTAGGGCAACCTTGTGACAATATGGACGATATGGAAAAAAAGATCCTACGATATGTTTTTTTTGTTATTTCAAACATGAAGTTCTAGTTACTAGTTAAAAATCGAATCTACTCTGATCTACTTATATATCCTCTTTCTGGCATATACATACATATTATCTATTACCTGTGAATAATAATAATAATAATAATCTCCAATTATGACCAATTTATTATTGCATTCTCTACTTTTGAGTGTTGCGAGTAGCGTTATGCCTGGTGGAAATTCGAGCTACGATAAGGCGATCGATACTACGGTAATTTATAATATGAAATAATATTTTTATTTCTTTAACAAGAGAAAAAAAAAAGAAAAAAGAAAAGAAAAGAGAAAAAAGGAAGGGAAAAGAAAATATATAAAAAAGAACAAAAAAAAAAAGAAAAAAGAAAAAGAAATCAAAAGAAAATTAAACTGCATCAATCTTCTAATATTACTATCCTTTTTATATTTCTAGTTGGAAATCTTAATACCCTGTATGGTAAAAAACAGCAATAATAAAGTTCTATTAGCCGGCGAGTATTCGGATTTTTTAACGAGTCGTCGACATTTTTTCGGTGTTACCCCAGTAGCTCTGGTAGGGGAGTCGAAAAATTCGATGTTCGATTTATTGACCTTGACACATCAATCTTTCATTATTTACAAAAAAACATTTCAAGAATTCGTACGTTTTCTTAACAAGTTACGATTCTTCGTCGTTATTAGTTCATCCCAACCGATTCTTAAATTGACGTTAAAAAGGATAAAGGATACTACATGGGCTAATAACAATGGATGTTATATCATGATAGATAAAAGAACTGATAAACGTGGTTGCGTTAACGCCTATTCGTATCTTTGGACAGCTTGGCAATTCGATCTTTTACGTTCGATTTTTATTTGTGTCGATCCTAACGAAGGTGTTTTACTTTATTCTTACGATCCTTACACGGCACAAGTGGCATGGGATTGGATCGAAGCTGGACGATTTTCTGGACGTAATGGACACCCTTGGCTTTTACTTAAAAAAAAATATGACAAAGGTAATAAACCCTTCGAGATTATTATTATTATTATTATTATTATTATTATTATTATTGGTCTGTCAACGATATTATTACAATCGTTTTATTTTTATTTATTCGAAATTCTTTTCAGAATCGACAACTTGTCAATTTAAAAAAATCAAGAAAACCTCGGCTCTTTATGGCTACGAAGTTAAACTGTGTGGAATATACGCACCACCGCATTTAATCATAAATGATAATATTACAGGACTAGATCAATTTGATGGAGACCATCCTATGATAATTAAAACAATTTTACATAAACTTAACGCTACTATTAATATTACCATCAAACCAATGCTGTTTGGTGGAATCAATAAGTATGGAAGAATGACCGGTTTATTGGGTGAAATTGCCAGTGGTAGTTACGATATGGCAGTGAATTCAAGAAGTTTCACCATGATGTGGCATCTTAGGTAAATATTCAAGACAGTGAAATTATTATTTTGTTTATCAAATACAGGGTGGACCCAAAATTTCTTCAATTGTGAGAAAAATAATCAGCTACTAATTATTAAGACATCTAACAATAAGTTTAATTAAATTCTGAAAACAAACGATCTAGAAATTTGTTTATAGGAATAATTAATTCGTTCAAATTATTGGTTCATCTTGTATATTGTCGAAAAGAAAAAAGATATAATACTTTAATAATTTACCAGTTACACATACCCATACGATGAATCGAGTATTTGTGCAATGTCTCAATCAAGTAAAGAAATTTCCGAGCTAAGAAAATTAATGGCCTTTTTAACAACACCCTTTATGATAATCTCGATGATATTATGCGTGATAACCTTGCTGATAATTATGAAATTCGATGGATTCTTTGAAGCCTGTTTAAACATAGAACGTTTGGTAGTTTGCGTTGCTATGCTACGTTTGCCTAATATCAATTCTTATAGAATTTATATTTGCATGATATTTTTACTCTCGTTAACAGCCAATGCTGTTTTTCAAAGCCATTGGTATTCTTTATTGACTATGCCACAGTTTTATGCAAACATTGACACCTACAATGATCTTAAGGTATCTATAAATATATTTATTCAACATTTATTTATCTAACTGTGGAACGTTTCAATAATTTTCTGTTATAAAATGTCTGCATATTATTTTTATAGGATTCTGGAAATGATATTTATGGGACAATAAGTTTTAAAGATATGATCGGTGAAGAATTGGAATCTCGTTACCACGAAACGTCTTACGAGGATTGTACAAACATTGTTAAAAATTCTAGCAACGTTGTATGCGTTTCCTATTGTAACGACATACTGCAGAGAACGTTAAAAGAGAAAGACTTACACACTTCGAAATATAAGATAAGAGAATTCGTATCGACCTTTATTGCCAGAGAAAATTGGCCGATCTTCGAAACGTTCAGCAAGAATTTGCAAAAGTTAGTAGAATCTGGTCTAGTTTCTTTGTGGAAGAATAAAGCTACAGCACATTTGAACCGAGAAATGCAATTGAGAGTTTTGAACATGACCGGATTTAAAGTCCTCAAATTTCAACACCTCGACTTTAGTTTTTATATACTTATAATAGGAAATTCATGCGCCATAATGGTTTTCGCCATGGAGTTGATAATTCATCGACATCGCGTTAAAATAAAAAGGATAATTAAAAAGAAATTAAATCGTGCTAATCGTTTGAAATAAATGAATTAAAATATTATCTGGCGTTCTATCAGCTGGTTCTTTTTCTGTTTTTTTTTTTATTTATGACGTTCTATAAA